TTACGCACTGTGTAATATTCTACATGATTGAAATATCAATAAATTATAAATCAGCTGATTGAATTCCTCTAAAAATCTAATGTGCACTAATGTGCGTTTTGCTATCTAGTTTATTAATAAATACGGACGATACAATATTTAGTGTCCACAGTAGTGAACGATTGTCAATAAACACAAGAAATTTAAATTATTTCTATTTCATTTCCATTTCTAGCCATGATGCAAAATAATTGATAAAAAAATAAAAAAGGAGATAATATAACACGATGTAAGAAGTAATGTTCAGAAAATTACTTTGTATATTACAGGATTCAAAAATAAAAAGTGTATTATAAAAGAACTTGAGAAAATGTTATGCGATTCTAATACACAGTGTGTCCTAGTTTCGATGATATAACCGGGACAAGAATAATTCTATATGAAAGAATAAAGAAAAAATATAAAATATAAAATATGAAAAACATAGAGTAAAATTTTACGTAAAAATTGTATTCTATATTTATTTTCATATATTTATTTTCTTATATATTTTTTGAAATTTATTTCTATTTTTATATTTATTTTTATGAAACGATTCAAAATATGTTATTTTTCAAATGTGATTTCAAATATTTTTTATAATTTATTATTTATTACATTATTAATATTTCTTAACCATCATATTCAAGATATATTCTTATTTCACTCTTCTTCGTTTCACAAATTTATTTCTTTACCATATGTTTACATTACTCATCAAACTGTAAAGATGTACATAAAATCTTGAAATTAAAATGTTAGAATATTTACTATCTTTTAGTTTCGTTTGTATATACTTTTATCTCTCATTGAAGCTGTAAGTCTATATGAAAAATAAAATACCAGTGAAAAATAAATTTATCTACCTAGATTGTTTAAAATGACCAATATATAACATTTTCAAAAAAATCAATTTTGAATTCATCTTAATTATACTTGAATTAGAGTAATTCTAGATTATACAGGAATAAATGATCGACAGAAGATCATTCTAATGAAGTATATAGATTTTTAATAAAACGCTTCGTTCCCGAAAAAAAATAAATTAAAATATTAACAAAACACATTTGAAGTTTATAAAACGAAATCTTTGACAGAAAGATTCTGTCTACAATTAATTTTTCGCACTTGGAATATTTCAGTAATTAATTAACGAAATTGAAATGTACATATCAAATCTTCAAACTCGATTTTTCGCGATACAAAGACTCAAATGGGAAAACGTTGCTCTTTCTCTACTTATTTTTGCTCCTTCTCGATTGTACCATGAAAATTTGAATATCCTGCATAAAATCTCATCTTTAAACTGTAGTATATACATAATATATAGTAAAATTAGGCTCAAGCTTCTCATGCATTCAAAATTTCATTCATTACTGAGAATAATACAGAGTTTGTGAAAACAAATTGTGCAAAAATGAAATAGGACTTTACACTATCTCACAATTATGTTACAAGTTATTAAAGTTTCAATTATTTGTAGATTTTACATCGACAATTTACATAACAATTGAATAGAAGAGTTATATACTTCGTACGCAACGAATTTTTAATAAACGTTTTTTGATAACCGTTTGGAAGAAATGTAATACAAATTTCAAAATTTTGCAATGTGCTTTATGTAAACGTAGGCAAATTAAACAGAGCATACAAGTGAGTTTCGCCATGCACCACGTAGAATGGAAATAATAGCAATGTTTCAGAAAAAAAGAAAAGTGACGACACTTACCAAATGGATACAGGTCCAATACTACAAGTGACAAATAATATCATATGAAATACAATTGCAATAAAACAATTAACATCATTATTTTGGATTGAAAAATTAATCTTATGAGATACTTAAAGAAGGAATGTTTGTATATTCGAAACAACACACACGAAATAAGAATCTCGGCTTACAAATAAAACGATTTACATCGCCGTTGTATTATTTAAAAAGAATTAAGAAAAAAGTACATTTTGTCCAGTAAAAGAATCGTATGAAATATACGAGACGTTGAAACGAAAGTATTGTTTTCTAACTAAATCGCAACATGTATATATTTTATAGAAAGGATATACGTAGGTCCACATATCACTGAAAATGTCTGATTACATCAACTGAAATCTAAAATTTTAGAACTTCGATGTATGATCTCGTTTGTGATATAAGTGAAGAGCATCATTGAATTTAATAACTGTAGATTTCACTCATAAATCTATATTTAATATGAAATCTCGTTAACATAAAAAAAAAAAAAGAAATGCTCACTGCAGGAATATTTTGCATAATTGATAGTTGCAACAACTTTTTAAGATTTCTAATATTTATTTGTCTGCAACAAGAAATATTCGTTAAATTTGGTATAGATAAGATTGTTTCATTTATGTTGAGGTAGTATACAGAATAAATGATAGAACAAACCAATACTATATAAAGATATGTCGTTTCCTGAAAAAAAAAAAACAATTATGTAAGACAATACATTGTGATTATGATAAAATTGACGAGGGAATAATTCTACATGCAAAAAGAAAAATTAGCTAGATCATAGTGTGAATATTGATAACTTATAAATTAATGAATATTTTCTATTACAAGGAACAAAATATATTGATTTCAATTAATCGATTATGTTTATTCTTTGTACAACCTAAATCGCCAGTAAAAACAATTTCTGTACATTAATTCTGCAATTTAGAGCGATCCAGTTATACTCCTCATGTAGGAATAAAAGAAACTACATTAAATTGAAATAAAAAATGAAAATATTAGACATGGTTGTTAATTGTAAGGAAATTGCTATGCTTCATAGTAAGAAAATAAACTTTTCAGTTGTTACATATGCAATATCTCACAGTGAAATCACAGAGAAGTGACGGAGAAGAGTATTGATTAAACAAGGATTGAAGAACATGAATATCTCTATTTACAAAGATAAATATAAGGAAGAATTTCACAGGCGGCAACACGTAAGAATACCAAGGCAGAACACTCATGCGTAAGAAAGTGGAAAATATCTTTATTACAACATTTAGTAGCGATACCGTGAAACGAAATAAAGATAATTTTCTTTTTCCTCTTTTGTTTTAAAGTACAAAATCAATATTCTTAATCATATTCGAGCCACACGTGTATCGATGAGAAGATTTATCGTTAATACTGCGCTATCGATACATTTTACTCTCCCTCTAATTGTAATAAACACGTGTAATTAATAAGTACTTTCATATTTCAAACACGAGGACATATCGTATATAATCGTCGGGAAATGAAAAATCTCACTTTCCTTTTTATGACGTATACAACAACGTATGAATGTTAAGTATTTAAACTTAGGAATACTAGAACGAACCTCCGATGATTTTGACGAAAGCTGGTGATCACCATATCACTTTTGCTCGGAATCTGCTCGTGCTGGACGTTGCCTTGCTGAGAAGACGATTGGTTCTCTTGAATGGATCCCTTGTTCGCCCAGTAATTCTGCGAAAGGGAAATTAATCGTTCAATATCTCATTTACATTTCAATTAATGATATTTTTAATATATTGTCCGATATATGAAAAATTTGTTGAACTCAGTGAAAACATTTGTTATGTTTCCGTGTGTGTATATATATGTAATTTGTTCTATTCTTTTGTAATGTCGAAAATAATATAATATATAGTAGATAGGTATATATTATATATATATATAATATATACCATCAGTGTCTGTATATATTACAGTCAATCTTGAAAGTCTGCATACATGTCTTTTATTTTTAAAATCCTGAATTTTTCGTAGATACTACAATTCTAATATTATACGTGTACTTCTTAATACTTTGTTATATTATATTTATATTAAGATATAAGAATTATTTTATTTCTCCAATTTTGAAATAAACAATAAGACTTGTGCTAAAAGCTATCGAGCAAGGTTCTAGATTTGTAAATTTCAAATGTGAAAAATTTGAAGGTCCACAAATTCTAAAGACAGAAAAGTATAAAATCTGCTATACAATTTTTATAGTGGGATGTAATGTAATATACAATGTATTTCTATCGTTACAATTTTAACCATATTACTATTATTACAATTTTAACCACCAATAAATTTTGTTTGTATATGAATCTTCATATCATGTTTTCAATTTATTTACAATTTATTACATTGAAAACATCATGCTTCGAATTTATTTAAACAAATGCAAACTGTGAATACTTTCGGATTCGTTTAATTTTAACTAACAAATTAACGAAGATCCAAACGGATTCTTATTTTAAATATTCAAACTTGCGTGACTGACTGTATCATTATGTCTACATTATTTTAATTTCTAATTACAATAACACGTTATATATGCTATATCACATATGCATAGAGATAATAGAAGTAATAGAAATAATAGAAATAAAATGTATACAAATTAGTATTGATTTATTATTTTTTAAAAAACCATATTCCAACATACTCTAGTTATCGTAGAAATAGAGCTACTTGCAGTAACCACAGGAACAGGGTCAATAGACGCTTTACGTTCGTGTCTTTGTTGATTCTCCTGATTTTGTTGAAGAGGCTGCACAAACGAACTGTCAGATTCTTTTGCAGGTCGTTTCTCTGTCTCTTCTTTCCCTGCTTTACATTCGGTTATTTCAGTGGATTCTGATGTTTTCTCCTCTGCTCTCGCGTTTCTACCCAATACGTCCAAAGATCTGAACAGATGCATTTATATCTAGTTACAAAAGACGAAGTTTAAGTCATAAAAATGTTTTTCCTCTCCCCAAAATGCTGCAAGAGATTCCCATCGTTATCCTCTTTTTATAACAAAAATTAAAAATATCTTTAAAAGAATGTTAAAAAGAAGTATCGAGTATACTCTTTCAAATAAAGAAACATTTAAATAAAGAAATGTAAGAATATGTAATAATAATTAATCGCTGAGACCCGGTCTAGTCGTAAAAGTTCATTTATGGGTTACGAAAATGCAGAGACCCTAAGTATTCATCTTCACACATTAAATACACGTGTTACTAAAAATTACACGGAAATAAAATATAGATTCGTTCACTATACACATGTAAATGTATTCTCTTAACAAATTAAAAAATAACTTACTCCAGAGAACCAGCAGGCGTCTCAGCATCAGCTAGTTCAGCCTCGTAAAGTGCTTTCTTTAAAGTTTCTATCACAGTGACATTGTCGATGAACAATCGATGCGTTGTCAAAAACGTATTGAGGTAATCGATGCTGAAAAATCTCGGATCCATCAGACGTTGAAGCAGACGTTCAGTAGTGGCTAATCGAACTTGCGGGATCTTGCAGGAATTCAAGGTCTTGCTGAATTTGATGTCCACGTCGTCGTTGAATAATTTCGGATCATTTTCAATAGCTTCAGGCATCGTGACGGAACTAACGTCCGACCACAAGCCTTCAAGTAAATCGTTCGAGTGAACGTTATCCATACAGCCGTTGATGTCGCTTGTCCAGGTAAATCCTTTCTCCTATGTTTATTAATCGAGATTTTCATGAATCTTTCTCTCTTCGTAAATGTGAAATATAAAATATTAATCTCATTTCCATCAATTTTCTTTTCTCGCGGAAAAACATGAAATGATGAAGGATTCTGTTACCAATATTGTTGATGAAGGAAACTGTAAATTTCTGCTTCGTATTATCAGTGACTGAAAAATAAAAAGCTCAGAAGCTAATCAGACTACGAATTTTCATATGTTTTGAAGTTTTTTTGATTTTGAAATATTTCGAATAATTCATAGGTATGGAATATATAGTAATTTGCAACCTAAAATTTCTCTCAACCTAAACCTTCTGAAGGCTGTTTACTCTCTTGGAAATTAAGTACGCAGATTTAGTAATATCGCTCACCCTGTATGACAAATGCTTGATTGACATCGAGTGAAATATCGTAGCCTTCTACGATCATTCGTTTCACGGTGAAATTTTTCCCTAAATTCTCCGTTTGATCGACCTGAAATAAATAATGTGTGAATGTGTCAGTACAATCAAAGATACGTTGGTTAATGAATGGTTAATTATCAGAGGACCAACGAAGCGGAACAATAATTAATAATTAATGTATCAAAAGAAAATCGGAACATGTTGCTTTTGAATGATCAATCAAATATTCTAATTAAGTACGCGATTAATACCTCGTCGTGCATTTGTCTCAACAAACGACAAAGTTGTTGCCTCGCGTTTTCTAAACTTCTCCGTTTAACGAGATCGTGGGGAATGTGTGTCAATAGTTCGTGCAGCGTAATAACATATCTTGAAACCTAAAAAATACAGGCAAAAAATTATTACCCTCGTTGTTTGTTCTCATATCCAACCCAATAGAATTTACTATAAAAATGTACAGTGCTTGAATAAAATAATAAAACAATAATTCATTGGAAAGAAGAAAGAGCAAATGCAGTATCTAAAAGGAATGAACAAGACGGAATAATTTGAAAATTTTCTCAAGTTTGTATCCATTTTTAAAAACTTGCAATGCTAATTTATTTATTGCTAAAACTTTCTTAGGCATTTATGTATGTTTTCAATAAATAATATTAGAGTTTGAAATATATATATATA